TTATTTTTTTTTTTTTTTTTTTTTTTTTTTTTTTTTTTTTAATTTTTCAATTAAGCGTCCGAATACATTGTTCCGCTTCTTTTCTCAGAACGAACTCGGGCGAGACGGGCGAGATTACGGCAATTTGGCGCTCACAACAAGATTGATGAGGACGGAATAATCCGTTTATAAATCTTACAATGGGGACGGGGAGAGGTGTATCGTATTCGCGCGATACGAAAGTAGAGGTACGGGATATTCACGGGACGCATGAAAATCATCGCGACGCAACGATCGCGGCGCGATTTTAACGAGGACTTCCCACGTATGCGCGTATGGAGGACTCGCCCCGGGAGCTTCCCATGTATTCCACGTTCCGTTTCCGAGCACGCGAGCGAAATTGGCGTGCTTTATCGCGATGTCTGAAATATCGCGTGCCGTCTTTTGTCTCGGCGTAGTACAAATCGCACGCGACGTCGCGGTGCGACGCGACGCGTCCCGTCGAGCGAGGGACCCCGCCTACACTGCTCTTTCTCTTTCCGTGTTTTTCTCACCGTTGTTTCCCCCTTCTCCCCCTTTTTTTTTCCTTTTTCTTTCTTGCTGATTCATTGCAGACCGATTCCGCGAGCGTAAGTAGACTTGTCAAGTTCGCGACCGAATGCCGCGAGACGCGCGCGTGTATTCCTCCCTCTCTCCCTCCTCCCCCGCAATATTTCGTTACCGATGTGAGAAACTCGTTGCGAATACAAATTACTACTTGTCGCGCGGGATTCAAGCCGCAGCAGCCTCATCGCGGTTAATAAACTTTCCTGCGATTCATCTCTCGTCTCTTCTCTCTCAGTTTGTTCCGGATATAACCGGGAGTGCGGAAATCATTTGTATTATATCTGGATATATTTGTTGATTATATCTGTTGAGCGTCTCAAGCTGCGTGACATCAAAAATAAATTTTCTAATTTTATCTAATTTTATTATTTGCATTTAAAATTTGCCTTTTTAATTTTTACAACGGCACGAAATTTAGAAACATCTCACGATCTACCCGAAATTTAGAGAATTCTTAGTCTGGCAGTCTGGTAAATCTTCTCATCGTCTACCACGGTTTAGAGAAATCGGCAAATTCGAAGGAAACACGAGTAGCAGTCGCGTATAAGGATGAAAGGAAGATGAATACGTCCTTTGAACCGTACCTCGAGTAAACACGTTGCGTACAAAGTGTTGCGCGAGCTCTTCTCGAACGTGCACGCTACTTTTTATATTTATTTCCCATTATGCACGCCAAATAGCGCGCATGGCCGCATTTATGTGCCAAAGATTGAACATTATCAAAGGATTATTTCCCTTCCATTGTATACTCCAGAAATATTAATTCTCTTTCATCGAAGCTATATATTCGTGAATAACCTTTTATCTCCGAGCTCGCCTGACGTGCTCCAAAGTTAAACTCCACCGACGAATTAGCGGGTTCGATTTAACTTCCCCGAAGCACTCGGTTGTTTCGCGACGACAGTGCGGATTCCGACGGGCCCCGAATTAACGTCGTTAAATTTTATGGTCGCCTCGTCGGCGGAAACCGATTCCGTTGTAAGAAGAAAAACGACCGACAGCCAGCACGTAACACGATGAAACACCATCATGGAGTTTCACGATCGAAAGAGACGTACGGATATGTGCATGTGTGCGTGTGCGTGTGTGTGTGTGTGTGTGTGCGTGTGCGTGTGTGTGTGTGCGCGCGCGTGCGCGCACGCGCGAGGGCTGGCTTTCCTGTAGCAGAGTCCTGTAGGAAAGAAGTGCAGAGGGGGGAGAGGTGTAGGAGGGATACGCGGAGGAGTTTTCTGAAGACCTTTGTCAGCGTTTGCCGTACGAGCGATCGTAAGAATCTTTGGCTCACGTATCGTATTTACAATACCATCGGTATCGACCGATTTAATGGGGGACGCTCGAGCGCATCGATATCGACGACGCTACCACATCGCGACCGACGTAGCAGGGGATTTCTGGTTTAAGCACGTTGAAAAATTTATCATGATCCGCCGCCACTCCGTCGACGTTTGATTTCCACCAAATGATACATACGTCGCTGGCGGAGAGGTAGCGTGTGCTACGCGGGATTCAAAGAGAGATTTTGCTACTCGCATTAACCCACATTACAGGATTTTAAATTGCGGGAGGCGTCACCTTAATCCACATATCACAAAGGTGCAAGGACATGCGATCTCGCTGAATGATCCGAAGATCCGCTAATTCCACTGTTTACGTAATCTCCCGTCTAGACTTTCGCGTAAATATTTCAGCCACTTGATTTTGATCGTCCATTTACGGATTTGTATCCAGGATTCTCTGGCGAGCTTCCAGAATTAACTGTCAGAGTTGGCAATCTCTCGTATCTCCTTCACTTAATTTGTAGTTACTCCAAGACGTTTGCATCGGGAGCGGGATTTATCTTTTAAAGATTGCATCGGAGCTCCCGGAACGCTAACGGATTTTGATACACATATCAATTTAAACGGAACAGCGAAGCGATAATTTAGATTTTATACGAAAAATCAGATCTATCCGTCATATTGGGATCAGAATTCCATCATCGGCATTTGCGTAGTGTTAATATTTCGCGGAATTTACACGATGATCCGATCGTCGAGCGGAAATATGACGCGTTGACGATCGCCGAATAACGCTTTCGGCAGAAAGGATTTGGATCGGACGAAAATTGATTTCATATCAAGCTTCACTCGCGCGCGTGCGCGAGCGAGCTTGGATTACGCGCTTAGCTTATAATTAATCGCAGTACAGCCGAGCGACAGAGAGAGCGATTAGCGAGATGCATGCGCAATACGGTAATATTCAAATCCGTCCGTCGTATGCGCAACAATGCCGCGGAATTCCGTCTATATTTGTCGGGATTAAAGTGCCGCTCGGTTGGGATAGCAGGCGGATGATAGCAGTCGGATGATAGCAGCTGGATGATAGCAGCCGGGGTGGCCCGGGATTCCGAGCCATCGGTCCGATGATGTTTGTACAGGCGCATGTACGGCTACGCTCTCCGGTTACAATCGCTGGCAAAAGCGATTTTTTTTCCGCCTACCTCCCGCGCTCGCGTACGCTCGGCCGCGAATTAAAAATACCCGGGCGGCGAATTAGTTTGCACTGCCGGACTTTACCGCGAATTCGCGACATAATCCCATTTCGCGGCGCGGTGCGACCGTTATTCAACCGTCATGGATTTCGCGAGACATACCGCGCTTGAAGTGCAAAAGTGTGAAAAAAAAAAAAAAAGAACGAAGCGAACGCCGAAAGGAACTGAACGTGAAATTAGCGCGATCTCGTAAACGCGCGCGGCCGTAAACCTTGACATATTTCGTGCGAGGAATGCGGTTATTCTCGCAGGTCTTTGAGAGCGAGCGGATTTTTGGAACTCTGAAAATTCTTTGTCTCTTTCTCTTTTGTTCGCAAAATTTTATTTCACGCGATTTTTAGATTGTCCCGAAAGGAGGGAGGAGAGATAAATATATTTGTCGATGGATTTATCACGTTTCCTCTTTCGATCATTTTTTTTCTCGCAATTACAGGGCACTCGGCTTCTCGCGCGCTTGTAATTCCACGCAATCTCGCGATATCCGAGAAGAGAAAAGATTCGGAATTTCCGGGAATTTCTTCGCGCGTGTTCCTATTTCATTTGCATTCGGATCTTAATGATCGTCGCCGACGTGTTGTTTTCAAATGCGGAATCGAACCGCGGTCTCGGACTGGACGGGACGCGAGGTAGTGGAGCGGAAGCTGGCAGATATGTGTCGGAGAATAATGAAATTCGCAGAGAAAATCAGCAAGGCCGACGTTTCGAACGTGACGTGGTCAGTCCCATCATTTTATGCAAATAAAAGCGGGGAACGCTTGATTTCCCCGTGGTGTTACGCTGCCGTTGCCGTCGTCGTCGTCGTCGTCGTCGTCGTCGTCGTCGTCGTCGTCGGCGTCGTCGTCGTCATCGTCAACGTTAGCATCGGCGTCGGTGTCGTCGACGACCGAGACGCCTGACGTCAGCCGGAGATGCGGTTCCAACCGAGTTTACGGCACTCCGAGCTCCGTGGGAACGGATATATAGATGATGCCTGGTGCTAACCAGTTGCCCTCGATTCTCGACGGATTCCTCGGGGACCACGGCACGTGTCAGGAAACGCGTGTTTACGTGCAACATTTAGACCGACCGATCATGCATCGTACATCGAGAATGCACTTCGATGATCTAGCACTTTGAAATGCAACATCGAACACCAATTTTAAAATCATCCCTTGATTTTGACACATTCGAGTGGCCGAAATTTCTTTTTGATCTTTGATAGTTATTTTGCATTTATGAGCTAGATTTTTATATAATCGATATATAATTTTAATGAGTATGAACCGATTGTTTACATTTTTATATAAATTCAAAGTGAAAAGAATAATTGTACAAAATAACTGTACAAATCTTACCTAAGAGAAATAATTATATTACTTATTTCTGTGCATTTAATATGTGTTTGGCGCTCATTATTCCTGTCATCGATTATTCAGGTTTTTAAGATGTCAATTTATCACGGTGTCAAGCGACCCATAAGTATTTTCGTTACGTCAATCACACACAATCGCAGCTATATCCGACCGATATCTTTTCTCCTCAAAATGACGGCCAAGTTCGCGCGAGTCGATGGTTAGACTTTCGTCTCCGCCGCGCCTTCGGGACTCCGGTGCGCGCCCATCGAGGCGTGAATTTGCCGATTGGCCCGCGCATAACTTCCTATAACTAATCCCACCGAGTTCGCATCCGTCTCGTACTCACCCAGCGAGAGCAGCGCGATTTGGGCGCGATGAACATTGCGGAGTGTCGAGCACATCTCCCCCGTGTTTCACGTGCGTGCTCGAGTGGCGTGTACGTCCTTACTCACCGTGAGTAGAGACACGCGGAACGGACAGGATTAGAGAGAGAGAGAGAGAGAGATAACACTTGGCGTGACCGACGCGCCGGAGACCACGCGGAAACTGACTCCTTTCGATGGCACACCGCTGGTAGTATTCTCGCTCCTCGCGGGCAGCGGAACCGGGTATACGTACGTTGACTCTTGCTTTTGCTCGCCACCGCGAGCGGCGGTCCCCTTTCGCCGTGGTGGGAAGAAAGATAGCGGCCTCGCGTTGCACGCTCACGGCCAACCGATCCTCGGGACGAGCGAGAGTGCCGGAGACCGGCCGATACGCTTCGAAGTTTCGAAAATGATCTCGATACTCGTTAATTGATGCGTTTTGGGGAAAGTGCTGCATAAATGCTGTTATTACGGTCTCTTGCCTTACGTTTTATTTTAATTGGGACGAATTTTAATATTACGAATAACAGAAGGAAAGAAAGAAAGAACGTGTGCTCTTGCCGGCAAATTTAAAAATTTGGCCAGATGTGAAAGTAATTTTATTGCGCGTTTAAAATTATTTTTTGACCAAATTTTTAGATTTGCAAGACTAATCTTCTCTCTGTGTGCATTTTAAAAACATATTGTTAAATTTATCATTGTTGTAGTATCAATTTTGTCTGTCTCCGTTGTCACGTGAAAATAGGATGGCTCTCAGATTCATGCTTAACTCCGATTTGTAGAACTTGTAAAACTCGATTAGTGTATCTACGAGTATCTACTCGAACATCTTAAAGATCTGTACGGTTGACTGGAGATTGACGTAAGACGCGTCGATCAGCTGACAGTTGAGCAAAGTCTGAACTGAGTAAATACTAATTACGTGCTTACTTAAACGTGCAGGATTTAACGTTCGTACATTTTATCGGAGAAAGGCGGCACGTACAAGTGGCGTACGTATAAAGGAATCAAGTCCCCGTGCTATCTCTCGTAAAGGACGCATAGCGCAGCCGAGTCTACGACCGTTTAAGTTTCATTGGCTTTCGCGTGAAATATTAAGATAACGTCCGACGCACGAGCAAGGCTGTCTCTTATTCCAATCTGACAATGAGCCTCGTTCCTGCACCGTCAACTTCGGTTTTATCGCCGGCGTTAACTCTCGCGGGCATTAAGCGCGTTACCTCGTAAAGGAGCATTGCGAGTGAATCGAAAGGAGAAATTACACGGTATCCGGTATAATTACGCCGTAATTGTCTGTGTCCGATTAAACTGATTACTTTCTGAGAGAACTTTTTAGACGGTTCGCGCAAAGCCGCCGCCCCGGCTTTCTATCAGACCGATTACAATTACATATCAAGAGCACTGATAATACCGTTTATCGAGAGAAACGGAACACTCTGCGAAGGTGTACCGTTTCTCTCTTGTGGTGCTAAGTGAACGGTGAACTAAATAATCTGATAAATCTTCAAATCCTCAGGATTAAAGATAAAGCGGCGAGGATTATTCTTATGCTTTCGAACCTTTGGTTCAAATCTTAGTAACATTGTACTCAATACTGCAAGTACCAAGCATTTCTCACCATTTCTGACTTTTTACATCAACACCTTTTTTCGTATTAAAAATATAATTTCGGAATTTTTTGTTTTATTTTGATGGAACATTAAAGTTTAAAAATTTTTAAATTTTTGACATCATTTTGAAGAAACTATTAGCACGAAATGCTCGATACTTTCAATGTTAACGGAAAAAGATCAAGATTATAAGAATGAGAAAAAGATGGGAGGAGAGGTGGTGCGGGGGATCCGCACTCTGAATGCAACAATTAGACTTTCTGCGTAGAAAATAATTCCGTTCTTCCGCGCTAGATCATTAAAATCGATACGGAAGATGTCGCGTCGTAAATGGCCTGGCCGTTTCGCGAACATGCATCGTAATACGACTCGCTCGGCGGCGACTTCCTAACGGCGTAATCGGGAGGGCGACGGCGCGAAAATTAGTGAAATGGGAAAAGCGAGGACGAAAAGCGGGCGAAACGTTTTGTCGGAGGAGACGGACAACAGTTCTGCGGCCGCGGTCCCGCGGTTGACAATTACCGCCGCGGCTGACAATTACTGTCGCGGCTGCTGATGCAGGCCGTTATCGGCGCTATTTTTTTCAGGTGTGGCGCCCCCGGTAAAATTAAACAAAAATTTCCATTCGTGACGAAAGCACAAAAATCGCGGGCGTGGTCACTCCTGTCCGGAATTCAGTTCCCTTCGACAGAGTTTGTTGCGAGAGAGACGTAGCCTCGTTGTGCGCGGAAACTGTCTCGCTCGCGCACAACGAGCACACGCACTAGTGAAATAATTAAGGCGACCTTATATAATCTGTTGGAATTTCGGTGCTTTTCGCTGCGTTGTCATGCCGCGAAAGTATTGCCGTCGCACGTGAACGTTCGCGAGTGAACGTAAGAAAATGTAAAACAACCGGACGCGCGCGCGGTGTCCGTGGATCTGCATCGCGTCGCATTTTTACGTCGCGCAAATAAACGTGAGATTCCATTCGTCACGGCGTTATAAGAAAGCGCACGAGTTTACGCATAAACGTCTATCCTCCTCTCTAGCGGCTAATGCGTCGAGGATTAATTACATCCTGGACGGCTCGGAGCGCTAAAACGCTTGATTCCATAAACCGGAGAAGGGGAGAGGGGGGGAGGAAGGAAAAAAAAGGAGACCGTCTGGCGGGATGAGTTTTTCAGGGACGATAATTGTACGCCATTAGGTAAACCGTCCCGACGTGCGCACAATATACAGGCGATGTCGTCGTCGTCGTTGGTCGTCGTCGTTGTCGTTGGCGTCATTGGCGTCGACGTCGGCGTGAAAATGCAAGGGAGAAGAGAAGTACGTAGTTTAACCGAGCGATATCAGGTCTCATTGTTCGCGACGTTCGAGCTCTTTGTCTCTTCCGTTTCGAAATGCCAGCGCGGGCGGCCGGAGAAGGATGGAGAAAGCAACGAGCCACGGTCTCTCGGCGACACTTGGTACTTGCCAGTTTACCGGTGTTGGAACGACCCAGTCGCCTCGAGTCGGCAAAAGGACATGAACGACGAATGCCACGATGCCAACGTGCGGGATCTTACATTACGAAAGTCTCGGTTTGCATACCGCTACTTAACCCATTATCGCGTACGTTTTGCGCGATGAAATTCGAAGCTTACGCTACGGAGGGAAAAATGGAGGAAGGTTTCTTTATTATTCTTTTAGAGCAACGTTTCTAGAAACGAGACGATATACGCGTATTTGCGTACCTTTTGAGAACCTTTTGTTCATTGTAATTGTCATTGTTCTCTAGAAAAATGTATTCTGAGATGTGTCTTCAAAGTACAATGTCATTATTAATTGAACATTGAACATATGAACTCGTCCGAATAAATTTTATTTAAAGTAAAAGAAAGCAAGCACATTTTTCATGGAAAAGATTGTGAATCGAAACATGTCGACTAACAAACTGTGGAAAAAGTTAGCTTGAATACAAGTTTAACATGCAAATGAGTAGACATTTACATCCAGTTTACATATCACAAGACTTTTATCAAGCGTTTTCTAGGGAAAGTATCAAATTTATAACATGACTCTTAAAACGCATCTTATAAGCGATAAAAAAGTAAAATCTCAGTTGTTTTCTTCGCTGACAGTTTATTTTTATTTACAATCAAGGATGATTTGCATAAAATTTATCTAGAAAAAGTAACGAAAGTCGACAATACACGTAACTTTTAACATTTGAAGTATCGATCATTTTTGATATCGTCTCTATTTTTTAAATTAAACTATTTTGTATTAAAAATATAATATTGAAATTTGTTTCATTTTCTGTCAATAATTTTTTTTTTTTTTGTATTCCGGTGGAATGTTAAAATCAAAAAGGTTTAAAATCTTGAGATTGATCAACAAAAATATCAAAAACTACGAACGATCAAAAGTGATCGCTTGACAGTTCTACTGCTATGAACAGTAAGAGCTCCCGTTACTCTTTTTACACATTTCTGTTGTCTCTGTACAACAACTGTTACACGCTTGTTACAATTCACTTTCATTATCACGGTACAATATATCTCCACGGCACGCGCTGGCAATTGTTTACATCACGTTGCTTTTGTTTCGAACAGCGCGGCTTCCCACGTGTAACCTTAGGTGAAGCTTGCATCAAATTTTAACCTCCGTTGTGCTCGGCCGCTCTGCCGCTCTTCCACAGCCTTTGCGATTCGCGCGAGGAAAACATTTTACCGACTTTCTCCGACGTTTTCACAAAAGACACAACGTTGTGTATCGAAGTCCTCCTTTCGCTTAACATACCGCGCCACCGTTAATTTGGCTCACGTCGCGAGTGTTCTCGCTCGTTTTAGAAAGACAATAACGATTCGAGCATTCGCCTGAGCGCGAAACTTTACTTTTTCCTTCGTGAATTAAATATATCTCGTTAAGCATGAAAACGCATTCATAATCAATTCATCGCACGCATCGCACCACGCTTCATTACGTTATTCTTCTTGCCATTAGAAAAATTGCTTTCTTCTCATCTTTTTTAGACCCGTTAGATTGTTATTGTTTTTTTTTCATATATTTTTTGCACGTTATATTTTTTATATATTCTTGTACAGTATACTCTACAGATTCGCTGCGTTTGCTATTTATTTTCTGGCACTATATATTTTACAATTAAATATAAGATTCGGATTTAACATTGCCCATTTTAAAAGCAAATATAAATATAAGAAAAATATTTCGAATTTAAAAAACATAGGCTTTAAATTCTGCATTGAACAATTATTTAAGGATATATACCTATTTTTATTTACAATAAAAGATTATGAAAAAGTTACAAACTATTCTGGATCTAGCATTTAAATGTAATACAAAAAATTTTATGGCAGTTTAGAACTTGGATCAAAAATTATTTAAATATTAAGTAGAAATGTGCTAATGACAATGTAATTAAGAAACAATAAAGATCTCAATTTTGTATATAAATTTTTATTTCTTAATTACATTATTTCTTAATTATATTTCCATTAGAGCATATTTTTATTTATTTAAATGATTTTTAATTCAAATTCTAAACCGCCGCTAAATTTTTTTGTATTATTTTTAAATGCGGTTTAAAATAATTTATAAATTTGTTTCTATCTACAATTTTTTTATCGCAAATATAAAAATTATAAAAATAGGTGTAATGCATCCTTAATTAACATTGTTATTCGATATGTGAAAGGTGACTCGGGTAATTCCAATCCACGTACACTGACATGATCGGACTTCAAGTTCAAGATCGAATTATGCAGGCTAGACAAGCGATCGCCTGAGGCACCAAAACAGGTCTGACTTATCCTAATTGTTATCTCGGGACGTTGTAACACACTGTTACAGCGTCCCGAGATAACAATTACCGTTACTAATTTTCTCTAACATACCTCGACCAAGTCGATTTTACCT